AAAAAAAAAAAAAAAACCACTAAAATTTGAATAAACAATCATTCACGCTTAGGAACTATGAATTTACAAAATTAATTGGGACTGATCATAAATACAATGGATGGGTTCCCAAGTACTGACAAACAAAGAACCTAGTCTATCTTAGGTCTAACTTAACTAATTTCTACAGTAACTGGGCCCAAAGTTAAGGGGAAGATATTAAGAATTATAAAAGTTTCTAGAGAAGGAAATGGTTTGAAGGGGTGACTGGCTATAAATAAAAAAAAAACCTCAGATTGTTCTGTCATAACTTCCTTCTGTACTTGTCGACATGTATGTCTCCTTTCAGCTCTCTCCAAAAGAATAAATCCTTTCCTTTTTTGAATCTTGCATGGTCCACTGCCAGTATCCTTTTTGACCAATTAGGTCTCACCCGTTTTGTTCTCTACACAGATCAGACCACTGGGTCACATAATCACAGTGTGGTCACAGGACAAAAGCCGGAAGTAAAGTCTTACAGTAGGAAGATGATATAAGGAGAAAAAAAAAGAACAAGAAGACTCAATCAAGCCACAATCTACAGTAAAATACAGTACCTAATAACAATGCAAATTGTCACTGGATTTTTCACATAGTATTTGTCATAAACATTATTTTCTCCATTGTTTCTATTTTGTTTGTCTTTTTCTTGTGATGAAAAAGTATAGTGGAAATTTTAAGTGAAGTATTTTATATGTATAGGGTAGATTATATTTTTGTGGTTTTAATTAGCTGAGAGAAATTATGTAGAAATTCCAAATTTAAATACAGTAATACCTCGACTTACGCTATTCAGACTTACGCAAACCCGGAGTTACGTGATTTTCAAATCTCATCGATTCGTCTTCTGTTTGAGCGCCATGCAACTCTTGATTACTCACTCCCCCCACACTATTGTTCAGATTACATGTTCAGACGTGTCGCATGGAATTGACACATAGCTACAATTTATTCTGTGTTATTTATTTCTGTGTTTGTTATATCTATGGAGACTTGAGAGACTCTATGTGATGATTTCTTGTAACTGTGAACGAATCAAAAGACGAGATAAGATTAACAAGAACATTTATTAGCTTACATACATCCGACTTGAATTTTACACAAATTATGAAATTATACCCCGATTTACGCGACTTACACGGTTATTGCTCGGTCCCACCTATCGCGTAAGTTCGGGGTATTACTATAGATGTTTTTAATTTTCTGAATTCTGTTCAATTGTTCAATGTTAAGTTTAGTATGTACCCTTTTTGAGTAAAGTTATGTATTTAACTTCATTAAAAGTTGCTTATGCCTCAAGAAGAACATAGTAGAGTAAAAGAACTAAAGTAAAAGGTAACAGCTTCAGATAATGATTTATAATTTACTATACAAAAACAAAAATAGTTTGGCATAAATCAATCCACAGCAAACCTAATTTTCTGTATAAAAAAATCCATTTTTTTGGGATACACATGCTAGTAACATAGCTTTTCCTTTATTCAGCAGAGATTACAGAACATGAAACATGCAAAGGAAAACATGAACAACATTATCAAAATACCACCCGAAATCCTTTATAGAAAGGTTGACTCTTCCTGGTAAAGAGGAGGATAAGTCCTTATAAATACTGTGTATATTTTAAATCTTCACTACAAACAAGCACATACATTGCAAGAGTTTTTTTACAGAAAACAAGTAACATCACAATTACACAAAGCAGTAACTCTTACAGACAAAAACAGTATACCATTAAACTTATAAAACCATGACTTGGACTTGGATGTAATGCAGTGTATAAAACTCAGACACCATTAAGCAGTCCTGGGCTCAGAAGGTACTTCATCCTAACAATTTTACCAGGATCATGTCAACAGAATTGTATCAAACTGCTGGCCAACTTGAAATGGTTTCTTTCGGAAGACAGAAGAGTTCACAACTGTCATACAAGATCAAGCCATTCATTAATTTTTTTGAAATAAGTATTTTTAAATTTTGTGAAAGTAAAACTGTTAATTTTTAAAACTTCATGTTTAAAAATATAAATGTTATAGAAAAGGTGAAGTGTGTTGTGTCATATTTTATGCAGTTCATACATAAATTGTACATAAATTTGAAGATAAAACCAAAAATAGTTGTTAGTAGCTTTGGTATGATTCTATTACCNCTCTATCACCGGACCACACATGGATTCAATTAGCAAGGTCAGCGCTTCTTTTCATCTTTTGTTTTCTCTCTGTTTACAAGCCAATACTTTACACTTGAGTCCCTCAAATTCATAATCTGCCAAAAGCCAATACATTTAACACACAACAGATTAATAAGTTTCTTAAGTATATTGGAGTATCTATATATAATTTTGATTTTTCTCATTATAGATGTTAAAGCAATATTGTGAAAACAATCAAAATTATGTAGCTACTACATGTTATATAACATGCATTATCAACTACGGAACATGTTTCTTGATGTAATTAAATAATTAACAATAAAGTTTAGGAATTATTTTCTGTTTTTACTTTCAGAAAACATCATCTTGGCAAAGTTATTTATATGATATTACTTTTCCAAGAACAGCTATGTTTACAGGTAATATAGTCTTATGTTTAAAATACAATGTATTAAATGTATTTAATAATTATGTAAAATATTGTTATTGTTCATTTAATACTTTTTATAAAATAAAAATTATTATGAAGAAAGACCAACTGGATAAGAATTAAATAAAATAATTATCATATATTTAATTACACTTTAATGTTTCAGCAATTACTTTAATAACAACAACCACTAGCATTTTTGGCCATATTAAATGACCTTCTTCAGGCTCAATCAAAACCAAAAAAAGGAACAAATCCTAAAATGGAACATTACACAGATCAATGGTTATGGAACAGTTACAACAGAAAGTTACAACTAGAATGGAACAGAAAGTTACAACTAGGATAATACAGCTAAGTAAGCAAGAGCATCTCATTTGATCAACATGA